CAGAGCGCAGTTACAGGAGGCCCGGAGAACTGGGTCCCCTGAAGCCTCAGGGGCTGCAAAGCTGTTCTTGCCTGGTCTGTGGCGAGGGACGAGATTCGCAACCGGCCTGGCCCCTGGAAGGGCTCCTCACGTGTGTAGTTATCAGCTTTATGGAGGTTCCTCAAAAGCTGCAGTGTTCTTGAAGCCCTTCCTAGTTTTTTATACTCCTGCTAACCTATGGGCATTTTCTGTTTTATTCACAAACAGAAAGGTATTAACTTAGAGACATTGGAGATAATATTTCTGTGATTATCAAATGGAGATAGCCAGATCTTCAGACTGAAGGGATGTGGAATGCCAGACTTGGGATCCCCACTGTTTTTAAGGTTGAAGCATTTATAAAACTGATTGTTTCAGATGAGGGTAGTGCAGTTAGCAATGGGAAGAGAGGTGAACTCAGATCTTCAGCCTGCTTTTTAATGTTCATGTTTGTTTGTAACTGTTTGTAGCTGAGTAGAGGGAAGCTAAAACAGACAAACATTATCAAACCTGACTATCAACCATCCTGCTTTTTTAAAAAAACAGGAATGCTGATAGGCTTTTCTGTCTATTCATGAATCTTAGAACTTACATTGTGTATAAATATTTCAGAAAATGTTAACAGTTCTATTTCAGATATCTCTAAACTTTCCCTTAATGCACTATCAGGTACTGTTGCAGTAATTACTTCTGATGGAAGAATGATTGTGGTGAGACTTGTATTTTTTAACATTTTCTTTTCCACCGTAAAGACTTCCTATCATGGCCATAAATAAACCATCATAGAGTATTATCACTTAAATGTTCACCCTTTTACAAACTTATTTTCTTTTTAGGCTTTATGGTCATCATTTAAACACTTCCTGTTTTTGCCTGCTAGATTTGTCCATTTATAAACTTGTGTGTGAAAATGCATTGACTTTTTTTTTTTTTTTTGGTCAAGTGGCCTGTTCTACAGGAATGCACAAGAAAATGCATTTGTTTTACTGCTCAGTAATTTTGGTTTCCATCTGGAATATCCACTTCGTTCAGTATGTTCTTAAACTTTCATCCTAAAAGCGTTTTTCCCATATGATTGTAGAAAAACAACAGCTGATAACTGCTGAAGAGTCTAGGGTTCTGTTTAAAGCCTGAAAAGCTGAGGATTGGCAAGCTATATAGTAGACTATATAATGTTCTGGTTTTACTGCTTCTGTGTTGTTACTTGTTTCTTGTATTCCAACCCCCACCCTGTATTTTATTCTTTGGTGTTTTAAGTTTAACTTAATAGTATGCTTGTTGCATGAAGATTGTATCTTCCTGTCTGTTTGCACTTAGCTTCATATGGCATGTGGAAAGAGACATCAGTACTTTTAGCAGAACTGTACTGGCTTCAGCAAATCTTGGATTCAGTCTGGTGAACTTCATGTTGTGATACAAGATGCTTTCCACCAAAAATATGTGAATGGAGTTGGTATATGTGACTCATTGTTACATGGTTAGATGCTGCAAATGGGTATTCCCGTTGAATGATGGTGTTTTACATGAGTTAAATTTTTTAAATTACTAATGCTAAATTACACAAATCAATTACCATTTTTCCAAATGCATAATGAAGTGGCACAGAAAGTCTTTTTGTGTGTGTTTGTTGGGGTTTTTTGAGTAATTTGGTGGAACCAAGCTAATATTCTTTAGAGAGACACCACTTAAAATCACATGATAAGAACAGTTTCAGCACTGTTGATCACAAGAATCTAACGTTTTTGTTCTTTCATTTAATTACTTCTTTAATTTCTGGAAACTTCCATACAAGGAAGACTTAAATAGTGTAGAAATAGTATAATTAGTTGTCTAGAGGGCCATCACAGGTAAAAGGGAAACTTTTATTACTTTTCATGCTAAAGATTGCTGTAGTTTTTAGCATAAACACACAGGAATAAATATAGATACATTTTAAAAATTGATTATTGCTTGTGAAGTTCGATTCTCCAGTTGTTTGTGTGTAAACCAAACAGTAAATCCTAAATTAAGCATCTCTTCTCTAGTACCTTAGTATTGCCTCCTTGTTTTAAGTTGCCCTTGAGAACAAAGATGATAAATTTAGAACATAACTGGAGTGCTTTATTTTTTGTGTGTGTTGTTTTCTGTTGTTTGTGGTGTTTTTTTTAGGGAACCCTCAAAGGTTTCGATCAGACCATTAATCTGATTTTGGATGAAAGCCATGAACGAGTGTTCAGTTCTTCACAAGGAGTTGAGCAAGTAGTGCTGGGATTATACATTGTAAGAGGTGATAATGTGTAAGTACAGCATATTTTTGCTAAAACCAATTAATAAAAATTTGTGTGAATAAATATGTATACATACATGATGTATCTGTATACATCTTAATAGCCTCAGACATCTTACATCTTTGTATCTCTGGATAGCACTGATGGTACTACCAAAGCTGAGGCATATTAAATAGCAAATATGTGTGCTTCTGTTACAGAAGGGATTGCATTGTAATATAAAGGTATTGTCTGGATTTACTGAGCTGTAAATTAACCATCTCATGTACTAATAGTAATCCAGGACAGTTCAGTATAAAGCTCAGCATTTTCCCTTCTTGAGTCTAGCCATTGTGTAGATGTTCTTGATTTGTCTGTGAAAGGCAGGATCCACTGATGGAGGAAAAGACAGAAGAATGAACAAAAGATGAGATAGAACTTGAGTGCAAAAAATCAGCAATCTGGTATACAAATTTTACTCTTAACAGAATTTTTATAGATCAGATGTTTACAGAGGCCACTTTATAAATCTGGAAGATGCATGAACGTTCTGAAGGTTCTGACTTGACAGCATAACAGCTGTCAAAGCCAGTGTAGTGACAGGTCAGAGTTGTTATTTGATGTAAATGCCATGGCATGACAGTAAAAGCTCATTTAATGCAGAAAAAAGTAGCTGGTGTGCCAAACACATAGGCATGTTACGAGAGAAATGGAAAGCATGCCTGGTAAGTGGGCTTGCTAGGAAGATTGCTTTTGAAGCAGCATTCTGAAACTGATGGTAACAAATTGGCTTTTTTTTTTTTAATCACAACCAGAAAAAGAACATGTCACAGTGACCAAGGTGTGAGCCTAAGTAGGAATTTTCTTCTTTTAATTCTCATGGGTATTTTTGTACAAAGAAATATCAAGACTTAGACTTATGTTGAGGTGTGTTTATCTAGCATTGAGAAAGTGGATAATTTTGGAAGGTTTTTATCACTTTTAAGCTTTCAAGCAAAAATATATAAATCGATGAATGTACAAAGGCAAGGCTAAGCCTGCTACTCTATAAGTAACGTCATTCAAATCGTACAAATGCGTGTAAAAAGCCAAACAATTGTTTACTGCTTCACTTTCTCATCATATCAGGCTGCCACGTTAATCAAGTGTACTCAAAACATACTTTCGTAACAAGTATTTTATTTTTTTTGTAACCCCAACAAACTTGGAAACGTTTGTTAGAAGGAATAATTCTGTATTCATTAACTGACACTAGGCTATGTTGAAGAAAATTGTCTTGCTTATCTGACGTTGTATGTGCTTACAGGTTGCTGCAGTTAGACATTACTCTTGAAAAGCTAATCTCTAAAAGGTTACCAGTTCCTGCTTCAGAGGCTGGCCTACAGCCTAAAACAGACCAGTAGTATTTGTTTCTTATGACCTGTATCTTTAAAAAGATACAAAAAAAACCACCCTTCCTTGAGACTGTGCTTACAGCCATCAAAGTCTTAAGTTCACAGATGGAGCTTTACAATTAAAAAAGAGAAAGGGGGGGGGTGTGTGGAGACAGACGGTGTCTTTAATAGCAAGTTAATTTTGTGGCTTTTCAGATGTGCACCACAGTTTCAACAAATGATGACATGTTTTTTATTGCAGTGCTGTCATTGGTGAAATTGATGAAGAGACAGATTCAGCTCTTGACTTGGGAAATATTCGAGCAGAGCCTTTAAACTCAGTTGTGCATTGAAAAGAAGAAAACTGGACTTTGTAAATCTTTGGTTGTACAGACCTATTTAACAACATGGATGATTTTTACGAATTGTGTTTAATTTCTTTAGTCACCAGTTTTTTTTTATTACGAATATGTTGTAGTTTTGCATGTAAATTAAAAGTTTCTACATTTTACTGAAGATGCTTTCATTGAATTTCCTTTGGGGTTTTATGCTGCATAATTTAACTGTAAAATACATACTGAGAAATGGAAGCAGTATCAGTGGTAGTCCTGGTTTTTGTATATATCTCATTCTTAAAATAAGATCTCATTTCTAAAGGTAAACCAAGGCTTTTTGTATTAACTCAGGATTATTTGGAGGTAGATTTTGTAACAGTGAATTTAACCATTTCTAACTGTAGTTCTGGCTGTAAGCAGAAAATTATGGATTTTGTTTCTTTTTTTTTTTTAATGTAGTGTAGAAAACAAGAATGTTAAAGCCTTTTATGTTTGAATTAATGAGTGATGCATTGTGATAAAGGGTTTTGTTGTTTCTGAAACTTGTTCTCTAGTGCCAGAGACTAAACTACAGGTGCTGGAGTTCTTGGTGCCTTTAATGCTTGCAGACAAATTTGAGTAAGAAAGACTTTTGAGAAGGAACACAGAACCTAAACCAAATATACGTATTTATTTGTAGCTCATTAAATTCCAGACCAACACTTTCTGTATCTTCTCTCAGCAACTGTCGTGTTGCTCAAACTTTGGGTAAAATCTATAGAAACAGAGTTGTGTATTTGTTCATGTGTAACTGTTGTCTTGCAGAAGTATAGTTTAGAAGATGCAGGAGTACTTTAGATAAAGAAATTACTTCTTTGGAATGAAATGTGCCTTCATACTGCATATAAGAATCATGTGTAACTTTAACAGACCTCTTCCACATCAGCAACAACCAAGTTAAGTGGGACAAGCTGTGTGCAGTGTATTGTGGTATTAGGCCAAGTCCTGTTCACTACCCAGCAGAAACACTGGTATGGTGGCAGCCAGAGGAAGTTGCTACTATTTAACAGAGTTGTTTTCCTTGTCTTGTATTGTGCCAACAGGTCCAGTATTTTTTTTTCCTCCATATATAAACGTGCAGTCAAAAATAGTTCTTTTAATGTTAATTTTTATATGTTGAGTTTAATATATTTGGTGTTTTTAATTGCAAGTTCAGTTTGGAAACCAAATATATTGAACTGAAGATACTTGTTCTCTGTGAAATATAGCTCTCAATTCTTGTAGCTTCTAGTTGTTTTTCCAAGATTGTTTTTGGTGGAGCATGTGAAGTCCAGCAAAATTATTTCTCCTTTATCCACCTTGTGACCCAGTAAAGTCTTGTTTTCTGGTTAAACTTCCACAGGGAAATGTCTGCTGAACAGACAGAGAATCAGGCAAATCAGGGTTTTTCTGTGATTACTGAAAGTTGATAAAGTCTGGCTATAATTCATGATGTTAAAAGATTTGACCAGTTTCATTAGACAGTCAACAGAATCACATATAATGAAAAACTTTTGCTGTGGAAACACAGATACTGGCACAAGAGAAAAGCAGGTATGGAGAGTGAACTCTCTTGCAAAAGGGCAAATAAAGTAGATTATGTAAAGTAACAACTCCAGGGCTCAGCAGAATAAAAATGCAGAGGCCAAGAGGGTAGAATTAGGGTGAGCTGATTTTAAATGCACTACTTAACCTTGGATGTATTAGAGTTACTGTTGCACTACATAGGCTGAATACTTGTAAATCACTGGATGGACTAAGGAAATCTGTTGCTTGGTAGATGAGGAATTATGTTTGTAGGTGAGTTATGGAGGGTTAGTGCATGTGGAGACCATCTGCCTCAAGAACATTGTTAGCAGTGGAACTCCCTGGCTCTGTGCTTGGTTGAGGACTTAAAATACGATGAGCTGCTGATGCTAGTTGAAACTATTTTCTCTGTCCTTGGAGTAATGATTGCAGATGGAAAGCTGTGGAACTGAGGTGGTGAAACTGATGAGTAAATTCCTGGGAGTGAGTGGATGAGAGTTCAGAGTAGGTCAGGAATTTATGAAGCTGGAAAAACATGATCTGGAAATTAATAGTTCCACACAGGTTTTTAAAACACAGATTGCAAACCCTGTCTTTGTTCCCTTCAGGTGAGTGACCTCAGCTCTGGCATGCACTCCTGGACCTGTGAAATTGTGTGCAGGGTGGAGGGGATAACAGCTTCAAGAGGTTAAAATGTGTCTCCACTCACAGGCTGAGCTAAGCCCTGGGCATCCTCCAAGGGATTCAGAAATAAAAGTTTAAACCTCATTTCAGAAAAGGATCATAACAGAGCCTGGCTGCACATAGTGCAAATGGGTTGATACGTAGTGCATTGTCAAACTGATTATTCTGCAATGATTTAGGCAAAGGATGACCAGCTCAGGTCTGATCAGGATTGTGGGCACCCACTCAGCCCTGCCAAGATGAATCTTGCTCACAAGCAAAGTTCTGCCTAAAAACTGGCAGCTGTGGAGTTTGCTTACCTTCTCATTTAGGCAGCAACACTGTAAAGCTTTTCAAAGTTGTGATTTTTTGCTTGCACTCAAATTATGTTTCAGTTTCTGCAACAAATTTATGCTCCTATTTTATGCCATTGGTTTTGGTCTAGGTTTGACCAAAGAGCTTTCTGGATGCACTGGTGAAGGGATCAAAGCCAGGACACCCAGTCATAAGGGGTTTTTTGAAAATGAAGCTGGGACCCTATATGCTTTTAAAAATTTTAAGATGAAATTATAGCTTTGTGAACTTACAGGAGCTCTAGTCTATACTAGATAGCTATGTCCCTCTAAGTATATGGTGGAGACAAAGCACTCAGGAAAGCAGTATTTGATGCAGGAAGTTGAATTATAGCCAGTCTGAAACAGTATTTTAATGGAACCAAACCTGTTGTGCAGTCCCCATAAAATAGATTACCAATGAAAGTCAACATGGTTTTACCAAGGGAAAGTCATGTTTGACCAACCTTATAGCCCTTTATGTGGAAGTAACTAGGTGGGTAGATGATGGTAGGGCAGTAGATGTGGTTTATCTTGATTTCAGTAAAGCATCTGACACTGTCTCCCACAGCATCCTCATAGATAAACTGAGGAAGTGTGCTCTTGATGATCAGGTGGTGAGGTGGATCATGAACTGGCTGGAAGGAAGAAGTCAGAGAGTTGTGGTCAATGGGACAAAATCTAGTTGGAGCTCTGTGACTAGTGGAGTCCCTCAGGGGTAGGTACTGGGACCGGTACTATTCAATATTTTCATCAACGACCTGGATGAGGGAACAGAGTTTGCTGATGACACTAAACTGGGAGGTGTGGCTGACACACCAGAAGGCTGTGCTGCCATTCAGAGAGACCTGGATGGGCTGGAGAGTTGGGTGGGGAAAAACTTGAAATTCAACAAGGGCAAGTGTAGAGTTTTGCATCTGGGGTAGACCACCCCCCTGTACCAGTACAGGTTGGGGGCTGACCTGCTGGAGTGCAGTGTAGGAGAAAGGACTTGGGGGTCCTGGTGGACAGGAGGATGACCATGAGCAAGCAATGTGCCCTTGTGGCCAAGAAGGCCAATGGTATCCTGGAGTGCATTAGAAAGGGTGTTGTTAGTAGGTCAAGAGAGGTTCTCCTCCCCCTCTATTCTGCCTTGCTGAGGCCACATCTGGAGTATTGTGTCCAGTTCTGGGCCCCTCAGTTCAAGAAGGACAGGTTGAAAGATGACTGCTTGAAAGAGTCCAGCACAGAGCCACAAAGATGATGAAGGGAGTGGAACATCTCCCTTATGAGGAAAAGCTGAGGGAGCTGGGTCTCTTTAGCTTGCAGAAGAAGAGACTGAGGGGTGACCTCATCAATGTTTACAAATACGTTAAGGGCGAGTGTCAGAAGGACAGAACCAGGCTCTTCTCAGTGATGTCCAGTGATAGGACCATGGGCAGTGGGTGCAAGCTAGACCACAGGAGGTTCCATGTAAACATAAGCAAAACCTTTTTTACTGTGAGAGTGACAGAGCACTGGAACAGGCTGCCCAGAGAGGTTGTGGAGCCTCCTTCGCTGGACACATTCAAAACCCGCCTGGACAACTTCATGTGTGACGTGCTCTAGGTGATCCTGCTCTGGCAGGGAGGTTGGACTGGATGATCTTTTGAGGTCCCTTCCAACACCTAAGATTCTGTAATTCTGTAAATATCATTATTTAGTTTCAGGAAGTCAATCAAAGTAGGAAAAATAAATGGGACTGAAACCAGAAAATGGACATAAAGGGATGGCCTTGTGTTAGCCATTTTCAAAACTAGAGAATATTAGTCCCCAGAGGAGTTTGAGTGTAGGATGGCAGTGAAGGCTGTGTCTGGACTCTAGGTGAACCCACACTGCAGCTTGTGTAGCAGAAGTTTGGAAAGTAGTAGAGGTAAAATGTACAGGAAAATAAGTAGAGCTCAGTTTTTGAGAGGAAAAATAATCTCAGCTGTAAAGGAGGTATGAAAGAGAACTGGAATGGAAAAAGAGCACCACAGATCATTATTCTGTTGAGCAGTGGTATGCCAATTAGAGCATGCCAGCTGGCTGGGGTGAAGGTTCTTGCTCCTTCCCACTAATCCTACAGATGTAGCAAAGCAAATATCTCCTAGGAGATAAGAGTAATATTGTATGCAAAAAGCCTTTGCTTTATTCTTGCTGAAGGGAAAGTACCCAAAAAAAAAAAAAGAAAGAAAAAAAAAAAAAAAAGAGTAACTCCCTCCTCAGGCTTGAAGGCAGTATCAGTGAGTTCTGACCACTGTGACTATATGACTGTCAGCTGGTTCTTCAGGGTACATGAAGAACCTGCAGAGATAGGAAAAAAAGAGTCATAGTCCATAGTGTTCTTGAAATTGTCTCTTCCTGCAAAGAACCTAGATTAAACATCTGATAAACAAGTGATGTTCAGTAAATCCAATGTGTCCTTGCAGATTAATAAACCTATTTTACAAAAATGAGGAGGGTAGGGAA